GGTTGGACCAATGTGGAACTTCTTCTATCTGAGACTTTATCCCCGATAACAAGGCTGGTTTACCTCCCTGTCCACTTCACAGGGTTGCTCTGGCTGTTTAATCAGGGATGTACATGACTGTATCTTAGAAACTACAAGGTACTGTTCGCGTACAAGCTGTCACTTCAACAAAGCCTACCCTATAGCTGCCTTGCCTGGAATTCCTGCTGGCTGAAGTAGTTCCATTATAAATACTGAGGACCTGAGGTACAGGTAACGTTTTTCATAATTCCAATTGCCATCAAGAAGTATTGATGACTTGGAGAGAACATTGATTTTCCTGGTGGTGTTTACATGCATGCTTTCTGCAGCCATTAGCGGTCCTCATAGAATTGATAGCTTTTTGAACCATGTCAATGAGATTATTGATTCCTGGACGAGCCCTAATCTAGGAAAACTTTTTGAATGTTTGCTATTGGCTTTTATTAACATATAATGTAGCAACAGGATTGAAAAATTCAAGTATTGTGTGATTGTCTGGAAATCTCAAAGTAAAAATCAATGTAGCTAATCTATTTAATAAGTCATGAAACACACACACACACACATATTGGGGCAAAGTCGGTCAAGATTCACTATCAAAAAGGAATTTTGTTGAGTGTTATTTGCTGTGCAGGTAACTTTCCAGCCAATACTACATGCCTAGAAATCTTAGCAAAACCTGGTATGCCAACCTTTCTGGGCTTCCTATGGTCTCCCCATGCTTACACTTCTATACCTTGTCACATATACTTTCATACCAGTCCCTTCCTCTCTTGATTCTATAGCTTCTTCCTCTAATAACCAAGCAGATTTCCAAACACTATGAATCTAGTCTGTAATTCTGCGTGAAGTTTGCATCCTACTGTCAGACAAGAAATGGAAACTGCAGTATTTTTACAAACACAAGTTCAGTGGTGGCTCATGATATCCAGGGCACTGAGCATAGAAAAGCCATATAAAATAATTTTAAAAACCAAGATAATTAACATTTAAATGTCCAAAGTGATAGGGAATCAGACACAAAATGCTACAGGGTACAGCTTACTTGCCACAAAATTAACAACCAAAAGAGTGACCCACAAGTATCTCTTTCCCTCCAGCGTATCCTCTTAATTAACAGAAGCTTGTTCACCTCTTTTACTTCAGATCCAGAAGAGAGTGAACATTGTATTCTTAAATAGCTATATATTTTTTTTCAAAAATGTTATAGGGGAGAGAAATTAAAATGTAGCAATGGGCAATAATCTATTCACAGTGAGGAAAATCTCCCAAGTAATAATTTTGGAATTCCTAATAAGTTATCAAAAATAGGAGAAAAATTCAATTCCATTCCTCTTTACAAATCCATTTATCTTTAGTGCTATGGAAAACAATGAAGTACACTATTAAGGCGGATAAATCTGGGTGTCCCTTGGAGATAATAGAGCCACAAGGGGAAATAAAACTGGGCAAGAAAATGGGATCACTTTTATATCCAAATTTCAAAATGGGTGGCTAAAGGGTAACCAGTGGTTATAATGCTCTGATACTTAGAAAAGCGTATTGAGGCAATCTTCAAAGTCTCGGGGAGTTAATCTGAGCTTTGGGCATCTCATTAATAAGGAGATAAGAAGGTATCCACTAAGTAATGTATCTATTCGTCAGGCAAGGCAGTGTCTCTGGATGTTTTACCTAATACATACACATAGTCATAGCCCATGCACCTTCAGCAATATTGGCAGTTTGGACAAGAGGTGATGAAAGCTACCATCTATAGAGTTGAAAGGGCTGGCTAGCTATTCTTGGAGAATGGTAAGGCAAATATAACACTGTGAGTGTAGGAGGCCATCTTTTCTCTATATTGATAATCCCTCTCAACATGCATACACTATACTGAATGTAATATAATAGCTGTGAAGAGGAAGAAGAGGAAACATCCAGGTTTTACTGATAGGTATGAATATTAGGTTTGTGCATGGACACATTTTAAATCATCCCTTAGGAAGCATTGCACCATCCTACCATCAATACACAACACAGGAAGTTGTGAACCAAATGGATTTCACTCTTGCTGCCATCTTTGTGCAAGGATCTTATCAACCCCTGAATGGCTTAGGTACACCCTCATGGTTAGAATGGAGGCTTGAATGGGCATATATGGCATAGCTTAGACAGAGTGACTTCTTTCCAGGATGATGTGAAACTAGAGGGAAGAACAAGCTCCACTACTAGGTCCTTTCTTCTCTTCCTCCCCAATGTCTGGATTCCAGTCATTAAAACAGCTCTCCTTTGAGGGTACATGGTGCAATGAGTAAGGCATATTCTTAACAAGCTGAGAGTGGTTATTCTATGAAAACATCCTCCCACAAGGGAGACAGAAGACCCTGGAGAGTCCAGCCAGAGCTATGACCTTCTGGTTCTTCATCTACCACCATCTAAAAATAATTTTGTAGTAAAAAAATATTGTAAATACATTGTGAAGTGACTTGCAAAATTTCCCATGCTTTTCTTTATCACAATGAATCCCCATAGCATTTTTTAAAGTATGGTTTTATTCATTTTGCAGATAAAGCAAACAAAACCTAAAGTATAAGGGCTTTTCTTTAAATCACCAGCTTACCAATGGCAAAGCCAAAAATGGGACTCAGATATTTTGATTCTTAACCTAATCTTATTTTCTGTAATGCTAAAAATGTTGGTCAGGAGGCCTGCATTCTAGTTCTGGATTTGATTCCGATCAATGCTAGACTTCAGACCAGCCACTTACCCATTCCTTCCTTTAAAACAAAAAAATTAACAACACACATCAGATAAGCACTAAGGTTTTTGTTTGTTCAAATGCACGTTTGGGAGCACATATCCTAACAAAAAAACTTAAATCTAACTTTTCACATTCTGATTTCTCTGAGAGCAGAGACTTTCCTCACAACAATCAAAGGACACATATGGGAATAATGTCAGGAAAAAACCAGTTGGTCAAAGGTTAATCAGTTAATATGAAATATCAATTGCACCCTAGGAATTTGGAAAGCCCATATATATATATATATACTATTACATCCACATATATATACTATTACATATACTATGACCTCATTGATGCCTGATTTCCTCTCTAGTGTAGCCTCCTCTCCTTGCCAAGTGTTCTCATGTTATGTATAAAGTGCTATGAGATTTCTATGTAAGAATTTGATAGAAATTTTACAGAAGAGCTAATTTTTTTGAGTAGACATAAAATATCAGAATTATCTTCCAATTAGATGTGGATTTGGAACTAAGGACCTCTAGGCAGAATAAATAACACACACAAACACATGGAAAATACATAGGGCTGTACCTTAGAACACAGGTTGAGAAAACTCAAAACTGATGCTAGACACTTTTGGTGATCATGTTAGAACTTGATTGTAACATCTGTTTGGTTTTTTGTTGTCGTTGTTTGTTTGTTTGTTTGTTTTTTGCCTTGCTAGGGAGTTTTCTATTTATTCTGTAGGCAGTAAGAGCTACCAGGGTTTAAAGGAACACTTATATTGTACTTGAAAACAAACATTTTCTAGAGTTCATCCTTCTATCAACATCTGTGAAGTTTCTGAAGTCTAAATCATGTCGTCTTCTCAAAGTACAGATAGATAATTTAACACAGTGAGCACTGCCACTCATGCTAACCACCCAGGAAGGGTTTCACAAATAGAATTAATTTTATAATAAAAATATTGTAAATACATGGTGAAGTAATTTGCAAAGATATACGGCTTTGATCCAGTTGCTAAACTTCTCCCAACAGCTATTTTTGCAGTAAGGAAATATTGCAAATATGATCCATCAGAGGAGAAAAGAATAGCTCACAGAGTGAGAAAGTTTTAGGAAATAAACTTGAAGGAAACACAGAACATGACAGTGTTTAGGGAACTTCAGGAATTAGGGATGGTTAAAGATAGCTTTATATTCACTTACCATCAACTGTAATAATCACTTGAAAAGAGACAAAAACTAATTTTGTAACACAGAAGAAATGGTTTGGTGACTCAGGTATTAAAGCTATTAAAGTTTCTGGAAATCTTTTTAAGAAGACTGAAGACCAAGCAGCCTCAGAAATGGCAATTACAAGAAGAAGACCATGGTATCAATTCTTTCTTCAGGGAAAGATGCTTCATTCCTTAAGAGTCAGGCACCACTGTTTGGTCACCCCTTGGAATAGATTTCTTACAAACACTCAATGGACTTTCTTCATGCTATGGCCATTAGGCTTCTGGTAAATAAGTCTAACCACAGTGTCTGGATACCAAGAGAATGAGGAAATGAGTCATGTCTTAAGAAAGCAAAGTAAGTTAATATTTAAGCTTGAAATCGTAAGTATGTGTAAGGAATATTGGGGAAAACATAATTCTGTTGATTTCTTGTATCTTTCCTGCTAATTATCAGTTTAAACATAAATTTCCAGTTGCCCGAGGAGATCTTGCTCCTGGAAGGTGCATAGGTACTAGAAAAGTTAAGACTGGTGCAGGGACCTTGGGTAGATAAGAACCCAAATTCAAGCAAGTGTGCAGACTTCGGCATTAACCTATGCTTCCTGTTTCTAAATAAGAACAAAACACAGTGACCTCATTGATGCCCGATTCCCTCTCTAATGTAGCCTCCTCTCCTTGCCAAGTGTTCTCATGCTAATTTCTTGAATGTTTTTCTACTCTCTTTCCAGTTTCCTCCCCTTCTACTTCCTGCTCAGTGAACTATATCAAAAGTGTTGTCATCAGGTTACCACCTCTCTCATCAGGTCGTCTGCACATTACCTAAGTTAATGAGCTTTCAAAATGTATCTCCCTAGACCTTCCTATTCCCCTTGATAGTACACTTTCCTCATTTTGCTTCATGAGATAACAATGATAGAATAGGGGCTAAAATTAGTATTAACACTCTCCCTGTTCTGATATGAAAATTTCTAATACTTCCTGGTATACATGTTGGGATATAGGTTATAGAGTAGGAGTTGAGTGGAGGTCCTTCTGGGGCCTAGGTGTGCCTCATCCTGGAGATCCTGTTGAATATAGTGTGTCAACCCCATCTGCTGGACATGCCGATGATGCTCTGATCTTATTCTCTCTTTGTCTTGATGGTTTTGGTATGGCGGCAGAAACCCCAGATAAGGTCCTCCAAGAAGCAAGTATCAAGCTATAAAAGATGCAGGCCGCTGTGGCATTTCCATGACTTGGGGTGTACGTTGATTGTTTATCCTTTCCTTTCTGATTCTTTTTATAATGGCTTTTGTTCTGAACTTTGTATGACCACAGAGAGACCAAGTGAAGCTAAGATGGTATGGGCTTTACTTTCCACACCTCTTTGCTTTCATTCTAGGGAGCAAGTGCCATTCAATTAGTCCTGGCATGACTCAACAAGGCCCAAGGAAGACAGAAATGCATCGTGTTTGTTGATGTTGAGAAGCCGTCAATTGAAAAGAATGCAATAATTGATGCAGTATCCATGCCAAATGATTCTGTGCTTTGGTCTGGCAAAGACTGGCAGCCAGAGCCCTAAACTTAGAAGGCCATATTGTTACCACACACCATTCCCCACATGCTCTGGGGCCTCCCTGTATCATTAAGGCGGTTTCTTTGTAGTCTTCATTAGCGTGTATAATAACTTGCTAATGTGTCTGCTGTATCATGTTCCAATCTGCTTCATGTTTTCTCTCTCTTGGTCTCTAATGGTATTTACTGGAAATACATTCAAGTCCAACTGAAATAAAACCTAATCAGATTTATTTCTACCTAAGGACATTTCTTATCAAGAACAGTACAATATTCTCTCCCTACATTCAGTGTAGCCATGTTATTTCTTTCATCAACTCTTTTAAATAACAGGAAAATAATAAATTCAGGGAAATCATTTTGCATCAGGAGTCATGAGTCTTTCTTCTGGCTTATGAGATAGGTGTTTTGCAAGATTAGCCCCTGAAGAGGCTGATGCCTGTTTCATGTGTATAGACTCGTGTATATTTTTCTCCTTCACAAACATGTGGGGGCAACAAGCTGAGGTGTCAAAATGGTCAATGTGCATATAAGGGCTTTCTTTGCTGGATCATGCTGCTTATGTTGCACCTTAGTCTGTGAACTCTGTGTCCATTATCCCATTGAATAGTCCCAGTAGCTTGGCCAGGACAGGATTATCATGCCTATTTTACAGATAAGGAAATTGAGCTCAGAGTTACTGAAGGAATTTTCCAAGACCATGCAGTTGGTAATAAGTAAAACCAGTGTTTACACTTGGGCCGGTCTCACTGAGGAGTTCTTGTTCTTTCTTGTATGAGGTCATCTGTACCTCCACACCTCCACAGCTGGTGTATGAGTTTAAGAGCACCTGGTTCAGCTGGAGCACAGTGGTAGGGCAGAGGGGCAAGGTGAGGTGAGCCATACACAGACAGAAAGATAAACACCTGCGGAGCACCCTGCATGTGCTATTCTGCAGAGTAAAAACAATCAAATGACTAGTATTCAGAGAAACAAGAGAGTCTTGAGGATGGGGGCGGCTAAGTACCAGGAATACAGAAACTACAGGAGGTTGCCTTCCTCATCAAGTCACGCTTATAGAATGAGATAATGAAGGGGAGATGACACAGCGACACTTGCTCATGATCACTGTTTACCAAACCTTTGAACTTTGTAGAAATCATTACAGACTTACATTCAAATTTGGCTGAAAAATATATTAAGACTGTCATAAATAATAGCAGTGGGATTATCTTTTGCCCTAATTATTAAACTTGGCTGCATTTGGGAATTATGTAGGGTGTTTCAAACCATATTTATGCCTAGGTCATAATCTATGCCACTTCTCTAAGTATCTCTAAAGATGGACCTGTACAATATTAATTTTTGAAGCACCTCAGATGACTGCAATGTGGTGCTGAACTTGAGTTTCAGTGCTAGATTTTTGTGTTCCAGGATATCAAGGTGTGGTGTGTCTGTGGTAAGGGCCTTAATGTGGTGTAGAGTGGCCGCTTATTTGGGAATGTGAAATAGGAATTTGGGAAAAGCTGACTTTTCCAAAGTGTAATCTGCTAAACATGAGTTCTATTATGCACTAATAAGAATAAAATATATGAAAACTTGAGTCCATTATCAAATACATTAGGGAAATACTGAGTTGAACCACAGGTAGTTTTTGGTTTTTGTTATTATTGTCATTTTTTATTCAAAGCCTTTAAATTTCTCATATGTCTTTTCATTATCAAAAAAAATAATTCTAGTATATGCTTTCTAAATCTATTTCATTATGTACATTTGAAGTAGTGTTTCATGGAATATTCCAGGAAATAATTAAGAAACTGGTAAAACCAAGCATAACTTATTGAGACCTAGGCAACCCATGAGTCACTTTAAATAGATTACACTGTTTAAATTGATCCACACAACAGTGTTGTGATTTAACTTAGCATGGGTACATTGTATGGATAAGGAAATGGATGCACTAGTTAAAGAAAAAATTCTCATAGTGGTGGACAGGGCTGGAATTCAAATCAAGCCTTATGATTGCTGGTCCAATGACATTTCTTTTTTTGTGAACATCTTTTTTAGAGATTTTTTCAATGTGGTGTTCTGCCCATCTCGGTTCAGTCTAAGCAGTGCTGACCACCTCCAAATGCTTTGCCCTCTTCTTGGAAATTTCATATGTGCAATTAATTTTCCTCCTAAAAACTGTCTAGGTTCTGTTCAAATGAATACCTGGTGTATGCTTGTAGGATCATTGCTCCCAAGTGACTTCAGTGACTATTTACTCCCCTAAGGAATCCACCAGCCCAACCCAGGCCTCACATTGCCTACACCCCCTTTTTCTGCCTCTCACCAGAGCTCATAAATTCTTAGGTGGTATCTTCAAAGAAACAAACTCTGGTGACACTGACTCCTTCCTTTTTTTTTTTTTTTTTTGTAATGATTGAATGACTGTGCTGGGTACTGTGGGAATATCCATGAAAGCTTAATTATATTTCCTGCCTCGCTGAGTGAATGTTGCATCAAAAGCTGGCTCTGCCTATAGTGTAGAACATCACAGAGATCACATCGGTTCCCCTGCATTTGCACATGGCTGATAATCTGCTCTCCACATAAACAGGCAGTCAGATGAAGCCAGTTATCTGAAAAGGTGTCGGAGCCCTGTTAGCATCAGTATCTGTCTTGACTTTATGCTCTCATAGCAAACTGAACAGAGCAGCTGGCTGAGCAGCCCCAATCCCCTATTGATTGGGACCAGTCAGCAATGCTGCCTGGAAATAATCAAGACAATAACACGTCATTTTCCGGGAATCGTAAGTGAGTCAACTACTACCATGAGCAGATTTGCGAGATAACCAAAACGTAGGCTTTTAAACGCCCAAGCATTAAAGCACATCCATATTTTTCCAATTGGAAACTTTCAACATGCAACAGAATGCTTTCTTGGTACAACACGCATGCACTGAGCACTAACTGTTCCAGGTACTGTGACAATTACCAGAGACAAAAATAAGGATAGAAAGGCAGATGATATTTGAACACTCACGAGTATTTTTCCTTTGCATAAAGTACAGATTTCAATTCATGGGTCTCACTCTTTCCTCCATTATGACTATGGAAGAGAATTTTATTTCCTTGGATTCTCATCTCTGGTGTTGATGCGTAAGACTGTTGGAGAAGTGACCCTGAGATTAAAAATGGAAAGAGGTGTTTTGGTAAATACACTGCCATTCATTCCATAAACCATACGCATATCATATATTAATGATGGGCCATATTATGTTAAATAAAACAAAGTGCCTTTTCTTTTAACAGGAGAGACATAAGATAATCAAATCATGCATACTGACATAGATCCAGGGCCCTGGGAACAACAGAAGTAGATCTACATTCAAATAGTCATATGTTTATGCAATTTCCAGGTATTCTGCAGAGGCACAATGATACCCTGCAAGTGGAATCACATTAAGAGGAGGCCACAGAACCCTCTGATCTGCTCCTACTTAAATTAGTGCAGCTTCTCCTATCACAGAAGGAACTGACATCATTTCTATTCAGTTGTGCGCTCACCAGCCTCCTTAATACAGCTTCAGGGATTAAATGTCTCCCAATAGACAATGCAGGTGTCACTTCTGAGAAACGTGCACACTCTGTTAACACTAAAGGTGGCAGCCAATTCTGGAACTATAATTGGAGCTTTTCTTCTCCATTCCAGTTGCATGATTTCTCTTTCTCTTCAGTGACTTCCCTAACTTTATAAATGAATACAAAGGCTCAGCCTTGTGCTGCAGCAACGATATTTGCTTAATCCCTTTAGCCATCTGTAAAGCGGGAGTAATGCACTCTATCAGCTCATCAGTAGTGTGTGTGTGAATGCACGTGTGTGCGCACGCATAGTGCAGAGAATACATCCAGGGAAGCCCACCTGAAAGCACATTCATGTTTATTTAAAGATTTAAATCATACAGGGCAAAACTCAAAACCTTTGAGTCTAAAATAGCCCTCAGAGCTGGCTATTCTCCTGTGCATTTGCACATAAATGTGGTCATTGGTCTTTAATTTTGATTCTAGGTCGAGGATGACATATGCTTAAGGAAGTGTACTGTATGCAATTCTAGAATTTGCTTTAGCCAAATTCAAATTCTGTGTGGTGTTAACTCATTTGTTTTTCATTAAGTTCTTTATTAACAGCCAAATCCCTTGATTATTACACTTCTCTGAACTTTCTTGTTAATCTTACTTACAAGTCACATAATGCCTGAATACATTTCTCTGAAATGTTGTTGAGATAAAAGAGCTGACAGTGACAGTAATTAACTTCTAAATAAAAACTAAAATGAGAGGGCATTATAAATACCCCCAGTGCAAAGGATACATGACTATGTCCCCAGGACATTGGGTGGCCAGTCTGTCACCATTTGAGCTGAGGAAAGCTCTGAGGCTGATTTTGGAAGCTGTTCCTTTATACTATTTAGCCTACTTAGCCTCCTCTTTTAGTTCTCGATTTTAGCTAAAACACATATTTTATAGTTTGCTTTTCACACATTTGGCCGCTTTACCATATGTTCTACTGTCCAATTCTCCTCAGCTTTCTTGCATATATCAATTTTCCTTCAGTAGGGACAAAATTCCATGGTTTTTCTCTTCCCACCTCCCACCCCATCATGGTAGATCCTTGCACACAGCTGGCTATAAATCCAATTGGTGCTACACATGACTGTGTTGAATTGAGGTTCATTTGCTCACAAGATATTCATCTCAAATCTGTCAAACAAAAACTGTGAAAGTGTCATGTGATTGGCTGAGGCTGTCTGTGCCACAGGAAAGAAGAAATCACACAAGCACAAGTGAGAAGTCTGGCATCTGCCTGGCAGGGTTGAAATATTAGCTCTGACCCTGATTAGAAGTAACTTTGGACCGACTACTAAACATAGTCAAGTCTTAATTTCCTCCTATATGAAATGTGGAAATACAGTACCGCGGTGCTAGAGATATTTGCAAGTGTTCAATGGAATAATAGAAGTAAATGGCTTTACCCAGGGCTTGGAAATTGGTCAATTGTAGGCAGCTCTGTCAATTTTCATCAGGAACTCAGATGAGAGATCTCTGAGTTGTGGTACTCTGAGAAAGCTTCCTGGAAGAGATAAAATCAGAGCATCTTTAATAATCTAGATTCGCCTCTTTTTTTTTTTTTTCTCCATGGTATCAGCAGTAGAAGAAATGAGGCTGAGGCCAGTTTCTCCAGGGAGTCTTTCTGTTAGCTCCTCAGTGGCTGATGTGATATTGTTTCTCACTGATCCTCCCCCCATAACCTGCACACATCTCCTGGGAGACAGGTATGGCAGGGGGCTGGCCAGCACCCTTCCTGCCATTAGTTTTGTTACTAAGTGGTGGCAGGTGGCTCCAGAGAGCAAGTTCCAAAAATGCTGTTGGAAGAGGAAGTCAACTCAAAAACAATTTTCTTTGAACAGGTCAAGTACACAAAATCGAAGAATAGAGGAGGGCGAGATGCAGAGATTAGACGCACCTAAAATACGGAAAAGGCGATGCAGGTGTAACAGGCAGATAGGGGAAATGGCTTCCTGGATGCATTGTGGAAATGATGTGTGTGAAGGCAGCTGTGATGCTCACATGTTCCCGGGTATGAGCTTTGGTGGGTAGATCGAGAGTATTTAATAACTGTCTTCGGCACTTACAAATCTTGCTGCCCCACAGGTCAGGCATTTTAAGAGTACTCTGTGTGTAGATCTCTAACAGAGTGTGTATGTGTGGTGTATGTGTGTGTGTGTGTGTGTGTGTGTGTGTGTGTGTTTGTGTATGGTTTATTTAAACTCTATAATTCTGAACATCCAGCAAGTAGAATTGGCAAGAGGTCACACGGCCTCCTCTGTCCTATTGAATAATAGCTTAATTAATTCAAACAGGGAAATGCTGGATCAAGTAAGCACATAGATTGATGAGTGTACCCAGCATGGAGCATGTAGGGGCAGGGGGCACACAGCTACAGAGAGACCTCTGTGCTGACTGTGAGGTCACCCTGGGTTCAGTCCTGGCCCTGCCACTCATCACTGTAATTCGGAGCAACTGGTTATCAAACAGTGGTCCCCAGCCAGCAGCATCAGCATCACCCGAGATCGTGTTAGAAACAAACGTCCAGGTCTCACCCTAAGCATACAGACTTAGACAGGCTGGGGCAGGGCCCAGGGTATTGTCTTAAGAAACCTTCCATGTGATTCTGATGCACGCTTCAGTTTGGGAACCACTCTAAAGTGGTAAGTCCTTTGGGCGATGCTAGTATTCCCTTACATTTGCAATCTGTTTGCAGATCATTGTGTGTTCCATCCATGTTAAATCAAAGAGCTACCGATTTTTCAGTCACAGATAAAATTGTATCTTCTTATCTATCTCCTATGTTAGATGACCTTCCATCCTGTCTATATCCCCACCAAGGACAGTGACGGATAACCACAGCTCAGAATCTGAAAAAGGTTCTATAGACCCCATTCTCAGGGTTTGGAAAACATCTTGTTCCTTCTTTTGGAGAGGAGGATGATAACACCTCCAGGGCACCCATGGTTAGCTAGTGCCAGGGACTGCTGGCTGTAAGATCTCCTGCTTTTCCTAGAGCTGTCAAGGATCTACTTCACAAGTTCATCATGAAAATGCAGTCAGGTGGCTTTATAAGAGATTTCCCCATCTAACTTGCGAATCTATCTTCTAATCACTGAACCTTAAGTTAAACTAGATTGTGGTAACACCTAGAGACTTTCTTTCAAGTCAACACAGAGCTTGAACCCTCTATATAGGAAGAGAAAGTAATCTTTTAAACATGGAATTAATGATGTTTGGAAGGCCTTACTAGGAAGATGGCAGCAAGTGGTAGGTTTCTTGCCAACCTGGTTGTATCCTTTTCCACGAAATGTGACTGTGGGGTCTTGGAGAGTCCAATTTCTTCCAGAAGGAAATCAGACTGGCACTTTTAATTTCATAGTTCTCTTCTGTCCTTGCCTAGGATTTATTTCTCCATCCATTTTTCAATCTTGTTTCTCTAAATTCAAATACTTCCCCAGTCCTAACCTGCAATTTTTATGTGCAACCATTTATAATTTTTCACTTTTCTCTGAACATTTTTCTTTCTCTTGTGTCATAGTCCTTCCCCTCCCTCATTTTCCTTACTGGTATTTCATTTAATCTTGTTTATCATTTATTCTATAAATGTGTTCCTTATGATAACCTCATATGGGATGTCATTTCTGTGATGATACTGGAGCAGTCATTCAGGAAATATTATTTCTCCATCTCTTTGGCCATCTCCCATAAATTATTCCTACACATTGTTGATTAATTTGCAATCAGCACCTTTGAAAGCAGAATTCCATCTACAGCATGAAAAAAAAAGTGCAATTTCAGATCATTTGGCAGTGACACCCATTCTTAAAATAAAGAATTAAATGTACTTAAAACTGAATGGTAGAGGTGCCTTTTCAATGAAGTAGAAGTTTTATTTTCAGATCCTTTATAATTTTTCTCATTTTTCATAGTCTGCTCACTTCATTCTTCAATATCTCCAAATAACCTTGTATAATACATATGGTAAAATTGTCTATTGGATTCTAAACAAATAATTAAAATTAAGGCATTCTGCAAACTTGTATGTGGTGCTTGTGGCCAGGTAATGAGCAGCTATGCAAAGACTACTGAGGGCACTGAACAGGAACTAAGGGGGCAAAATTCCTTTTCTTCTCTCTCTCTATCTCTCTCTTTCTCTCTCTCTCTCTCTCTCTCTCCCCACCAAGGACAGTGATGGATAACCACAGCTCAGAATCTGAAAAGGGTTCTATAGACCACATTCTCAGGGTTTGGAAAACATCTTGTTCCTTCTTTTGGAGAGGAAGATGATAGCATCTCCAGGGCACCCATGGTTAGCTAGTCCCAGGGACTGCTGGCTGTAAGATCTCCTTTGTCTCACTCTGTCTCTCTTGCTCTCTTTTCTTTGTCTCTTTTTCTCTTCCTTTCTTATAAAATACATATTTAAGGTACACAACGTGATGTTTTGATTTAAGTTCACACAGTGAAATGATTACAAAAAATGCACATATGTATTTCGTCACATAATTACCTTTGTAAGGGTGTGGTAAGAGCACCTGAAATCTACTGTTTTAGACCAGATACGGTTGAACACGCCTGTGATCCCAGTGCCTGTGAGGCAGGAGGATCGAGGATCATAAGTTCAAAGCCAGCCTCAGCAAGGTGAGGCACTAAACAACTCAGTGAGACCCTGTCTCTAAATAAAATACAAAATAGGGCTGGGGACGTGGCTCAGTGGTGAGTGCCCCTGAATTCAATCCCTGGTACAAAGAAAAAACCAAAACACCCCAACAACAACAAAAACAGAAACAAAACAACAACAAAAAACTACTCCTTTAGCAAATTTCCAGTATACCATATGATATTATTAATATACTCCTCATCTGTACACTAGATCTCTAAACTCTTTCATCCTACAGAATAGCAACTTTGTCCCCTTTGACCATCATCTCTTTACCTGCTCTGCTCTCCTCCTGCCTCAATCACCACCGTTTTTCTCTGTTTTGTTTGTGTGTGTGTGTGTGTGTGTGTGTGTGTGTGTGTGTGTGTAGACTCCACATATGAGCGTGACCATGTGGTATTTGCTTTTCTGTGCCTGGCTTGTTTCACTTAGCATAATGTCCTCAAAATTCATCTATGTTTTGGCAAAAGGCTGGTTCTTCTTTTGTTGAGTATTAATAATATTCCATATTCCATTATGTGTGTATATTCCACAATTGCTTTATTAATTTGTCTATCCATGGATGTTACGTTGTTTCCTGATATTGGCAGTTACGAACAACACTGCAGTGAACACGGAGGTGCAGCTATCTCCAGATACTGATTTTGTTTCTTTTGGATATACCCAGAAAAGTATATATTTGTGTCACGTATTTCCATTTCCCCATAGCTTTCTGTGTGAACATGGGTGGTAACTGATGTAAATAGATCTCAGTGTTGCTCCTAAAAATGTTACCTCAGTCCAACTTCCCATGATGCTGGGAATCAAATAATATGACCCATGAGACAGCACTGTGCATTATTAGGGTTTTATACTAGTTACCAGTGGGTAACTAGTTTACTATAAAGTTTACTAGAAAGCCACCATTGCCTCCCAAGCCCTCGTCTCTGTTTCTCGTTTCAGTACACACAGTGACCAAAAGAAACTCAGATGTCACCTTGACTTTCCCTCAAAAACTGTATCCAATCAAGAATTCCTACTTTCTACTACTTAGAGTTCTCTCCATTCTTTTTCACACTAGCTGTAACTGTCTCATTCTACAGAGCAGATGATCCACGTGACTTCTTATCCTAGCCTCACCTCCAGTCCTGCATGTCTTCAGTCTGTTCTATTGACCAAATGGACAGGGGACAGAATGATTCTTTTTATGTAATAAATACGATCCTTTTATTTATTATTTAAATTACGTAATGGCTTCCTCTTGGTTTTAAGGTGTAGTGTAAACACATCAAGAAGTCTTCAACACTGTTCCTGCCTGGCTTCTCGGTACATGACATTTTTCTTCTGACAGGCCGTGTTTTCCCTCCTATGGTGGACTTGGTTCTTCTCCCCCGTCTTCTTGGATGACCTTCTCTGTAGTCAACCTCCATGTTTATTTTCCTAGGTACCTTGCCAAATCCTACTCATTTCAGCTTAAATATTACTCTCCACGGGGAACATCCCTGCATTACCCTGCATCCCATTGCTGTGAGCCTTTACAGCATACTGTGTTTCCTTGAGAGTCGTTAGTTCTGACATGAATAACTTATTGAAATATCTTTCTCCAGGACCGTAGGCTACTCGCAGTAGAAATATGCCTATCTTGCTCATCACTGTTTCTCCAGTTGCGTAAACGGATCCTTATAATTATATGAGAGCAAGACATGGTTTCTTCCTTCCAGCATCTTGAGATAATTAAATGTTGACAAATAACTATGATGTGAGGTAACCCGGTCAGTAGGTGGTGAGTAGGAGTGAAGGTAATAATAAAACAGTAATCCTTCGCAGCGCTTGCTCCATTGTAGGTGTGTGATAAGCCTTTCATCTATTAGCTCATTTTACTATGA